CAAGTAGAGTTATGGATTTACTCGAGATTATTCAGAAGCCTGAACACTAGTTGTAAAGATAGTTTATTGTTAAAGAGTAATAAAACCCGCAAGCGTACAACAAGCAAGCACATAGTGAAACCAAGAGTATGTGTACGTGCGTGTTAAAAATCCATATATATTTATGAGTCATAACCAAGTGTGGATAAATTACTGATTGTCTGTGTATTACAACCAATTGGAAAATAGATCAAAGTTGATGTGCAGACATGTGCTCAATCAGACTGACACAGAAATTTACATAGTGGATTAAGTGTGTATATTACAGTGAGCAGATAAATAATACAGTAGTCGAATGTGCTTACCGCAAGCCTGTGACCTGTGATATCTTGAGTGTTTTATTGGTCATGGTCTTTGTATTAAGAGGATCTATGGCTCAGTGGCGTTTTATGTGCTCTACAAGTGTAATAGTGTTGTAACACCCTTGTTGGCTACTCTACTCTGAGTGGGGCCATTCAGATAAATTATCTACCTATAACCTTGTTGGACCTGTGTTTTTCTTCACACCATTTGTACCAACAGTGTGGAATGATATCTAATCACTGGTTGAACCATATTTATGATTGTTATTAGAAAAGAAACTTCCTAGTAACCTTCATCGTATTACTTTTTATTATTTTGTCATTCGAGTGTTACTTGCAGAGGCAAATAACTTCTCGAAATAAATAGTTCCCCAAGTCTTCGAAATTGATGCTAACGTCTTCAGTCTTTACTGGACACACCCCTAGCAAAAGGTGCTCGGCTAGGTATTCACACAAGCTCTTGATCAAGTAGGCCAATATATATATATATATATATATATATATATATATATATACATTGCGTGCGACAGCGCTGTTAGTCCCTGAGTATCCGTGAAATCTTTGATATTTTCTTTCATACCATTCGATTAACTATCTACCCTGACCGTCCCGAGACTATAGATAATCTGATCAGTATCCTATAGTTTATATCACCAGTTAATTTCGTACCAATGTAGCACATCAAATGGCCATTTACCCCTAATACTGAAGTTAAACCTGTCTGATTTTCTTGCAATACGGTTTTAGTAAAGATGAAGTATTTCAATATGATGTTCAATACAGAGATTAGATTAAAGCACTACTTAAGTGTACTTTGACTCTAAGCGAAAAGGTAAGATTTTTGACTAGTAAAAAGTATGACGGCAAGTAAAACACAATCTTTCCATGACTGAGGAGAAGAGAATTTTGTCTGCTTGCGGCTTTTCATGGTCTAGTGGGAAGCAATTATTCAATTATATTGATGCTGCATTTCTATGAAACTACCTGTTTGGCTCATGCTTGAAGACCTTAGTTAAATTTTTTTCCCTCCCTTGAGAGTAGATCTTATGATTTTTGGAACCTGTTGCAGTGAGCTATCTTGAATTCGTTGAGTTTTTCAGTATCTCGAAGGAAGTGTACACTGAGCTTCTTTAACGTTGTCTTACCAGCTTCCAGCGTTTCTTTAGTTCTGATTTCACCTTGTCAACCACCTGGTTGTGAGTCGAAGCTATGTCAGCTCTTCTCTGGTCTCTCACGTCTTCCATTTACCGTTTGCATATATTAGTGATGGAAATACGGTGGATATAGTTTTGCGAAGTATGAGCTATAAAAACCCACACAGCTTTGTGTATGTGCTTGTGGGGAATATTTTGTCAACTTTAATCACTGCGTTGAAGGCATATAAAATTGCAAACCTCTCAATAGTTTCGATTCCTTCTCCTAGTCAGTCCATGTTGCCCCATAATATCTTCATACCCGATGTTGTCCATTCCTATTCTGATTTTCAGGTCTCTCGTCAATATGGTCAGGTTCTTTCCTGGCCATTTCTCTGCAATCGATGCCAGTCTCCCATAATAACCGATTTTTATCATCGTTTTTAATCTCAACGATGAGTGCAATGCACTAAGTAACATTCGTTGTGATCCTCTCTTTGTTAGTTTTGAAGAACGCGTTGGTGACACTGGACCCACGATATTTTCACCATATAAGTACTTTTCGTACTTCTTTAAACAGCATCAGTGTAAATCCTTGTGTATGTGATGCATTTTCTACTCCGTGGCAAGAGTACAACAGCACCTCTTACGAAGCTAATCTTTTTCATCCAGCTTGGGTCAAACGCGTTTTCTTTTATTTCGAAGGCCACCAAGTCGTATCCTTTCATTTCTGCGGCTATTCTACTGGTCCTCCTGGTCTCTCACGTTGTCCGAACATTCCATGTGCCTACATTACTTGTTGCAGTGATTTTTGGAAAGGAAAACGGTCTCATGATTTCCGAAGAGTCTTAGGTTTCCCTATGGGATGTCATAACTCATTTGCAGGCAGATCTTTGGACGTCCTGGGCAGAGTTCAGGTGGTCTAGATTATTTTTACGGCTAGCGTTTTTCGCAGAGTTGTTTTCTACGGAATGGGCTTGCTAACCTCGTACTTAGACCTCCTCCCTTATCCTGGCTAGGGATCATGAGTAACCCTAGAAGAGCCATAGATTGAGTTCTATAATTGCTATGCCACTAATTTAAAATAAAAAGTCATTTCTCTTTGTTTACATTATTCTATCGGCATACGGCGATTTCCAGTTATATCTCTGTCAGGAGGCCGATTGAAAGAACATGTTCAAATCACCAAAAAATGAATGCGAACTTGCGTGCCAATTAGTTTGTTAGATTTAGCACTGTTTGCATAGTTGTAGAGACATTTGGTGTGCAGATCACCAGTGTTAGTAGGTGGTTCTATCGGGTTTTACAACTGTTATAGTCTTTAATTAACATATTACTGCTGGTAGACTAATACATCCAATGAACCATAATTGACTTGACATAATGCGGTTGCACGCGGAGTAGCAGCCGGACAACACACTCTAGGTTGTAAAACATATGTCTAAGTGGCTTCAGAACTAGCTGATGTCATGCGCCCAGATAAACGTGAGAGTTAGGAAACCATGGCCATCAATTAGAGAACATATCATTGAGACGAGGCATAGAATCAGCAGTAATATAGTTTTAAAGTGATTGTGTAAGAATTTTCAAAGACGACTTCCCAAATTTTTAGAGGCCTTAACTGTTTGCAAATTCAAACCCACTTTATGTGTGAATCAACGTTTGATCGTTGTCTTGGATTTGTTTCTGCAGTCTTTAAGTCCTTTTATATCCTAAGTTAGTGTGGCATTTTGGAGTTATCCCTTTATGTTTATTTGAACTTCTGTTTAACTAACTTTTATTGATTTGGATATAAAATTCCTAGACTAACATATTTGTGGCTAGATTTGCAGGGGTGTATAGAGCTACTCCATCACATTTTTCATCAACTCAGTCTTTTCATTGTTCTATCAAAGTTTCTGAAAGGAGCTAATTACTTTGAATAAATGGGAATGTAGTGTGCGTTATTAAGGACAGGTCTATATCCTTACTGTGACAGACACTGTTTTACAGTCAGAGGTAGACCTGTTTTTACTGGCTACGCGCTCAAAGAGTGCTGGTAAGAAAACAAAATGAATCTACACATTCTTCGGGAGCAGTCGCACTAACCGCATTTGAGTTTACCATACATGCATGTTTAGTATATTGATATTAAGCACCTAAGATGCTTCTCTCAGTAGAGATCCCCGACAACATAAGTAGAGATGACGATATTAATCAGAAAAAAACGATAACTATGATTAGAAGCGGAGGAAGACGAGTGTAAGACTACTAGATCATGTAACTAGATGATATGGAACGAGTTTTAAGAACAAAGCACTGAGAGATGAAGAATACACTAAACCATGGGCTCTAGGCTAGTTAGTTCCTTCGGGATTGAGTGAATCAACATAAGCTGGAAGCACTAACTTGCCCATCAGTTTTAGCGGGTTGGATATTGATGGTGTAACCTCCTGACTTGCCTCAATGCCACACTTCGCATTTAGTACTTAACTGGGGTTATGTTTCCACGACAGCCAAGCGACCGGCTAGAATAAGTGCTCTCACCGGACAACAGAATACATTAACATTAAGAGTTGACAGAAGTATGGGACAGAATCATCGGTGCATGCGCCCGTCAGTGGTAAGCATTTGATCTGTGCGCTTCGTTTTCTTCAGATTCCAGAAAGGATAGGTAAACTTTCCAATCTTCAGTACTCTGACCTTAGAAGGATTTGACTAAGACATAGTGATATTTGACCGGGCTTATTATCAGATAATTATGTGAGCGCTGGAGGAACCTGGAATTTCTGTCGCTAAAAGCCGTAGAATAGCCTTTCGAGTGGCGAGAAACACTCGTTGCTAGGTAAAAATTCAGAACTGCTAATTACTTGGGAGTAGGGTATTAGAGAGAATGACGTAAGGAACACAAACAATAATATACATCATGATCGCATTTATATCACTTATGTACTACGAAGTTTGACCACATATCCTGTATTCATGTTCTCTCTACTTTCATGATTGCTATTACTGACGTTAAAAAGCCCAATGCTTCACTCAAAAGTCTGATGAAAATTTCTCCCAACTACCATGAAGTGACTCAACAGTTCCGAAAGCGAGTCTGGAATTTATTTTAACTGACTGATTAAATTGGTAAAATTTCTTATTCATAAGTAGAAAGCAGAACGAACTGTATACACAAATTCTACTCCTTAAGAGTTGTCAAATGCTGGAACTCACCGACAGTCGAGCTAGTCCGAGCGACTTCCCAGGAGTCCTTCAAGAGGCAACCTGATCTATTCTTAAGGTCTAAGGATAGTATCTTACTATGATTTACCAATTTCTTTTTCCTCTTTTATCGTAAACATACCTAGGTCCCTGCCTGGAGGTATTGGTGATCCTCTGCTACTAGACACGGAAGCCTGTTAAGCGAAAGCTTCTATTCCGTCCACAACCATTTGAACCATTTGAACCATTTGTTTGTTGGATGTCACCGAAACCGAAACCTGCCCGTAAGCGCTCGTTGGCGGCGACAGCGTAACATTAAGTTCGTTTGTGCATCCAAATGAATCCAGATTAGTATGTTTACATTACCCACGGAATTCTTCCACCTTTTTTGGCACATTTATTTAAATTCTTTCTATTTTTTTAGTGATTATCTACTTAAGCTACTACTGATCGGTGATTCGGGAGTGGGGAAATCATGTTTGTTGCTAAGATTTGCCGTAAATTTTCTTTTGACCATTGATTGTAAAATTGATTTAGGATGAAACATTTAATGAGACGTATATAAGTACTATCGGTGTTGACTTTGTAAGTACATAATAATCTGACACTTTTCAGAAAATACGCACCATTGATTTAAATGGTAAGGTTGTGAAACTCCAAATTTGGGATACTGCTGGTCAAGAGCGTTTCCGAACAATTACTTCTTCATACTACCGCGGTGCCCAAGGAATTATAATTGTGTATGACATAACAGATCAGGTGAGCGTTCCACTATTTTAGTTATTTTACGTGTTGATCATTATAGCTGTTGGATTGCTTGAGGCCTTACGCCACCTAACGTCTTGTATTACCACTTTAGCTCCAAAGTTTTGTGTGATTATTTATGTCTAGTACAGTTAGGTGTATTATCAGTGATAATCTTGTTCAAGTTTCATATTCAGGGAAGTAAAATCAAGCATGTAAGACCGAAAGTTTTGTTTGCGTCACTTATTTCCTGCCTTTTTTTATCAGCAATATCACCAATATGCGTAACCCTCAATGTCTTCGTAACAATCATATCATGTCTTTTGGTACTCACTACTTACCAAGTTTTTCAGCAATGAAGTCACGGGAAATCCAATGCAATCACTCTTGATGTGTAGTCTCACAAAGTCAGTGTCGGTCGACAGCACTGTAAAGCTTGGTTAGACTTATTGGAACAAGATATCGGCTTGTCAGGGTTTCAGGTGTATCACTGGTTTGTAGATGTGAAGTTTATTAGATTATGCACTAGTTTAAATCCCACTTCATGTGCCACTACCCAATCAAACAGGGAACACCATGCAACTCAGGTGTACTCTATAGCCTCCCACTAGTGTATGCATGGTAATCAAACCGCATTTCCGTGTCGAAGTTTCCCCTAGTTTCCAAACATTTGGACCTTTACCAAGTTATTTTATCCAGTGTCTAATTCATATGACTATCAGATATCACATCTTAAACTTGCAACCCCACATTAATGTGCTGTTAATTCCTGTCATCTGTAATTAGTTACAGTAACATGAGTATTTATTATTTATTCATTTAAACACATAAACATTGGTACAAGGAAGCACAAAGTAGATATGCGCCACAAATCATTCGATTTGTGTGAGGGCTGTGATACTGCCCGAGTGCCCAGACCGAAGCAGGTGGTTTTCTTAGGGGGCCACACCCCGAGCCTTCGACCTGGAGGTCTGATCCACAAGGCAGTGGAGCATCGTAAGGAGATGCAGTCCCATGGAAGCCGGTGACCGAAAATTGGTTCATACGCCACTTGTTCCCGCAAGATACTGGAGCCCATGTGTACCATTGGTTTGAAATCCTGTTAAAGCGCCGGACATTCGCCTTTCGTACTCTCACTTTCGTAAACATCCCCGCCACGAGAAGGCAGTGAGTAGGACTTCCTTAGCAGAGGCTGTACGCGCGCGGCCGTGTAAGTATTTCGAGAGGGCGGGCCCACCCAGGGCATTTGGGGCAGTAACATGAGTAAGTATTACCATAACCTTTAGTGAAATATCCATATACCTGGTTTGTCATATTACTGGCGATCCACTATTCTGCAACAGTCAGTCAGCTACAACGTAGGACCAGGCACATATATGCATCGGTCCAAGTTGCCATACCTCGTTAGCACAACAAGATGAACACCAAATTCATAGAAGTAGTTAGTTCAATGGTATTAATGTATAAAAGAAAGATTGCAATAAGGATATAGTACGAGAAGAAAGAATTAGTTGGTAGAAAGAAAGGTATAAAGCAACTTTAGTCGCACAGTTTGAGGGAAGACAAAGAGTGTATTTACCGACGCCATTGTGGTCGATTCTGAGCCATGTCACCCAATCTTTAACCATTTGTTACGATAGTTGTGTGAACCACAACCAAGGAGTTTACATCTACCAACATGGCTCAGACTAGAAGCTAGTGACTTCAAGCACTGATGTCACGTTTTGGTTTGGTCGCCCCTAACTTTCTTCCAACCGTCTGCAACACTGGTCAGCATTGCACGTCCTGGCAACACACCTGAAAACAACTACCACTATCTTAGAATTATATTAGTAGACTAATAATGATCAGGTCAATGTATGACATCAGTACATGACGCTTTTAACCATTGGTCTAAGCTGTGCTAGCGGGGTATAGCAACTTGAACCGGTGTAAACGTGCTAGGTTCTACGTTGCGTTTGACTGACTAGGTTGTGGAGACTAACCAATTCTCCTTTTAATGTTTCCGGGAAAACTAATTAGTGACTGGGGGACTCAATTAAGATGGCCAGAATCCAGTCGTTAAAAATTTAAACACCATTTCATGCTTCACCTTAGTTTGTCTTTTGTATATTTATATGAATTGTGACTACCACGACTTAATTTTTACCAAACTCCATATCACCCGCGTTCTTTTTATCCTTAGAAATCTTAGTTCACACTTCGATAACCTCATCACTGACAGTAATGATAATAATAATCTGAATCAATTGTTTGTTTTTCAAAGCGACAAAAGTAATTTCCATAGACAACCTTCGTAGGTTGTTCAAAACCCGAGAAAGATTGACTCGCGAGGAGCAGGCTGGGTTTCGTTCTGGTCGAGGATGTATTGATCATATCTTCACCCTCCGCCAAATGTTAGAACACCGCCATACTTTTCAAAGGCCAACAATCGTAGTGTTTCTTGACATCAGGGCTGCCTTCGATTCGTTGGATAGGACTGTTCTCTGGGATTGTCTATTGAAGAAGGGTGTGCCTGAGAAGTTTATTAACATCCTAAAAGCCCTGTATAAAAACACCTCAGGCAGAGTGAGGGCATACAACCACCTCTCTCCATTGTTCCATTCGAGCAGTGGGGTTAGGCAGGGTTGCCCAATCTCACCATTCCTCTTCAACTTTGCCATCGATGACATTCTGGAAACAGCTCTGATGAATGTAAGTAATGGTGGTGTGGATCTGTTGCCTGGAGAAAGACTTCTCGACCTTGAGTATGCGGACGATATTGTCTTACTGTGCGATAATGCCCAAGGCATGCAATCCGCACTTAATCAGTTGGCAATCAGTGTCCGTAGGTATGGTATGTGCTTTGCACCTTCGAAGTGCAAAGTACTTCTACAAGACTGGCAGGATTCTAATCCTGTACTCACCCTGGATGGTGAGCAGATAGACGTAGTTGAGAAGTTCGTGTATCTGGGTAGCTGCATAAGTGCTGGTGGGGGTGTGAGTGATGAGATCAATGCACGAATAGTGAAAGCCAGAGCGGCTTATGCCAATCTGGGCCACCTTTGGCGCCTTCGTGATGTTAGTCTGGCTGTAAAAGGCCGGATCTACAACGCGTCGGTGAGAGCAGTTTTGCTCTATGCTTGTGAAACCTGGCCTCTCCGAGTTGAGGACGTTAGACGACTCTCTGTGTTCGATCATCGCTGTCTCCGAAGGATTGCTGACATTCAGTGGCAACACCATGTCAGTAATGCAGAGGTTCGGCATCGTGTGTTCGGGCACAGAGATGATAACTCAATTGGTGTCACCATCTTGAAACACCGACTTCGGTGGCTTGGACATGTTCTCCGAATGTCGTCCCAGAGAATTCCACGTCGTGCATTATTTGCCGACTCTGGGACTGGTTGGAAGAAGCGGAGAGGTGGTCAGTGCATGACATGGTGTCGTGGCATGAAAGAAAGCTGCAAAGGACTGGCTTGTGTTGGTCCTTCACGACTCCCTGGCTGGGGTCCGAGAGATGGTGCTACACAGTGGCTAGAGACGTTATCAGATATGGCTCAGAATAGAAGCCAGTGGCGATCCTGCTGTAACCTTCTTTTACTTTCTTCATAAAAAGTGGTTGTGTCTCCCTTACCTGAAAGATTTCTTCTGATTGTACCTCTTCGTCATTACTCTCTTTTTCTTTTGCGTTCCTTAGTTTTTTTCTCTTTCTACTTCTCTTCGAATTCCCATTGTTTTGTGTGGCGCATATATATTGGCGCTCTCTTGTACCAATATTTATGTGTTCAAATAAATAATAAATCACTGACAGTAAAATTACATGTAAAGATATTTCATGGCATGAATAGGGCTTTTTACAATGAAACACAAAGTAATGCAATATGCTATGTTCTTTGTGAATCGTTGTCCACTATCTAAAAAAATTCATATCGTCAGTGCAATTATCTTAAATTATATATGAGTCCGGACATCTGATATGAGATTCCGACAATTCTTTCTCAGTATAATAACGACAAATACATCGCTGAAAATCAACGAAAATGTCTGGTGTGTTTTACAAATGAGATGGTGGAGATCAAATCAGCTTAAATTATCACTAATTAGTGCTAAGGGAAAGTAATTTTTATTCAGGTATTTATGGATGTAATATACTTTAATATACTAGCGTCTTTGGTCCTTACTGATGGATCAAGAACGGTCTTGTCATACATGCACCATTATGAGCAAAGTATCCTCTCATTATTCAGGCGTACCCAGACGATAATGTTAGTCCCGTTTTCCGTACGATTTGTATCGTAATATCAGTCTATTCAAGACATTTTGTTTCCTAACCGTGGAGTGTTGCTTTATGACGGGGCAAAAAACCAAGTCTAGGTTAGGTCTTGATTCACCAGTCAGTGGTCTATGTACAAAATGGACACTACTTGTTTATAAAATCGGATTATGTTTATTTTTGTTCCAATAATTTTGTACATTAGCTATTTTGTTAGTTAAGAAGCCTATTAAGTCTCACTTTCTAATATTTTTTTTCAATGGAGGGCTTATGTCCGTAACTCAGTTTTATAGGTAGATATTACTCGGGCGTCATTCTCTTTCATCTATTGATAGACTAATTCAATCAGTCATAATCAACATAGAGCCTGAGCTGATAACCTATGTTATTGCTTTTTGTTCATAAAATTTGTTTATGGAATCTTAATTCATAACTGTCGTGGTTGAAGAGAATGAGTATTCCATTTGTTCTTTGATTGATAAAATGTTGGCGAGAGTAAGATATACTTCGCTAATTTCTACTACCTGACGTAGGTGAAAAAGTCTCAGATTTTCAAAGAAGTTATTTTTCTCAATGAAGCATATCAGTAAATTATTAATTCTGTTTATTAGTCTTGAGAAATATCTATTTAACCGCCTTGTCTTATTAACGAAAAATGAGAATACACATATGTAGTAGGTAGAGACGGAATTAATGGGTACGAAAATATAATTAAATCAACTATATTGTCACCATTGTGATCGAGATAAAACAATCTCAACACTTTTTTTAGATATAAAGCCTTAAAAGCATCCAGTTTTTCCGTGATTATCGAGCCCATTAGTTTACCTATCAGGTACATTAATTAATCACTAGTTAAAAACTACATCGGCTAGTTTGGTCTAAGTAATTGGATAATTTTGTTTTTGACTTTTTTTTATCCACCTTGCTTACTGCACTCCATACTTTTTATTTCTTTTGTAGTCAACATTTGCAAACGTCCAAAGTTGGCTCCATGAGATCAGTTGCTATGCTAACTCTACAGTCAGCCGTCTTTTAGTGGGTAACAAGTGTGATTTGGCGAATCGACGTGCTGTTGAGACGTCTGTTGCGAAGGTTTGTAAAACCACACATTTAGCTACGTTGATTAGATATAAGATCTACTCACTAGTGTCAGTATATTCTTAGACTGGCCAATTTTCTTGTATGCGCAAACAGTAGTTGTTAAAATTGGCTTCTATGTTAATAGCCTATGCATACCTTAAGTCTATACATAGTATTGATTACAAAATGTCAACTTGATCTTTTCACAATTTTTCCCGCGTCTGTATAAATATAGAGCTGTTACTCAAGCATTCGACTTTTAACCAGTAAGCTGCAGATTAAGTTCCGCTTCATATTATTTTGGATTAAACTGCTTCAGTGCAGCACAAGGCTGATTATACAATTATATTTATGATTACTGACTGTAAAAAATCTATCGCTGTAAAAATTCAGTATGTTAGTCTTAAATCTTTATTTAGTTACGATCTTTCTGTTTCTAATGGACACATATTTCTACTGATGATATTGTCTCTTGTGTTTGGTTTTATCTTTACCTAGATCCTAGGTTTCTTAATTATCTTATAAATTTTTATTTCGCGAATCCATACTTTTAGAATCTCTAATCTTTTCTACTACCACTTGTTCTGTTATTACTCGTACTTCAGTATTTTACTGTGTTGGTGTGGTGTGGCAACTTAAACTGACGCATATATATGGCAGTTTCCATGTATCTTATGATTGACTGAATGAACTTGATGGGTGATTAAAATAAATCTTTATATGAATGCATTCATAAGCGGCTGTTGATTCATTTTTCATCTCATTGGTAATCAATAATTTAGGTTTAGTATTCAACTGGATGGCATATTTACGACTCAGCTTCCGATCATCGGATCACAGGTTTATACTCCACCCAATTCTTTCTAGATATCCAGGTAGCCTTTACTCAAAATGTGTACTATACAACCGAAACAAAATTTCAGGATGTACTCGATTACGGGGTTAATCATAATTTTGCCATTGAATTTTTATCGTACATCAAGTTAGTGTATAAACAGTACAGGACTTACTTGAGACAGACTTCAATTTGACCAATCTCCGTAAATCCCCGTCTTAAAGATCGAGTTTTATCCTAGTTACTTATGCGTTTTGTGCTCAACTTTTTCAACCAATTTCCCAACTAATAGAAAGTGAATATTCTTTTAGTAATTCATGTAGCCCTGATATTTTATTACCAGTATTTAGGGGTTTGGATCCACATATTTTGTTCCTACTTTGAATTAAACAATCAGGTACCACAGATGAAATCTTCACAAATTGAACACACCTCATCCCACCCAGTATAGAGATTTCTATATGGTAGCTGAGTGATGATTGTCATAGCTTTCACTGTTAGTAACCACCCCAAAATTATTTTGTGACTAGATTGCAGGTTTAGAGTTTATGTTTCTTAATGGAAATTGATAATATAATTCACCTTTAGTTATTTTAATTCTACTTTCATATTATTGCTCATAACGTGGTGTGATCTTTAATTTCCCAGGAGTTTGCTGATAAAAATCAAATGTCTTTCATAGAAACCAGTGCCAAGGATGCTACTAATGTTGAAAACGCATTCTTAAAAATGGCTGAAAAGATTCAAGAAAATGCAACACCAGTACAAAATATGTTGTCTTCTACTGTACCAGTTAATAGTACACAACCTGTCAAAAAAAGTGGGGGTTGCTGTTAAATATTTCTTGGTAATCTTAAATCTATCCATCCTCAACTTTATTATGGTTTATTTCTATGTGATTGTGCGCTTATCAAAACAACTATTCATCTCATTCTCCTTCCTTCATTACTAAACTTGTGATATTATTTTGTGTCTGAAATTCTCGGAACAGGACATCACAGGATTGTATTTGTATTTAGGTGTTTTATTGATCAGTACATTTACTATCCTGTTCCAGTTGAGTTTGCTGGTGTATTTTAGTTTCATTTTGAAATAAATTACCATCGTTTCCTTATCATCTGAAGTCCGATTTATTACCACCAACACAAGACTGCACTAATATTTTTTGAAAATTTATACACTCTAAAAGCTCTCGTTTTCGTTGAAAACAAAAAATGATCTATGTACCATATCTATTCGTTCGATTTTTCAGTGGCATTAATAAAAATAATCTTATTTATTTAAGGGATTTTATTAACTGTATGCGATAAATCTTTTCATTCCTTTTTTATGTGGTGTTTTACCATGTCAAAGTCGTTTTATTATTTAGATATATGTATTTGGTCACCTGTTTAGGACTAAAAATAAAAGCTAGATTGGTTGGTAATAAGTGTATCTCAGCTCTGCTTCACCTTGGTGCACTAAATAAAAAGTGGAGTTGTAAAACTCACCTTATCTAAAAATTATTGAGATTTAAAGTGATTAAATAAATGTCCAACCTCTCTTACTCTTCATGAGCGATGGTCAAATAATTTTACTCTAATTCTTCGATATTTTCATGTTAATTGTAAAGGTAAGCATCCACTCACAAGGTTTGATATCGAATCTGTAGAAAACAGTCATGTATTGACAGCGAGTTCAATAAAGTAGTAGGGTAGTGGCATGGTCTGTTCTTCCTAAAATCCTGATTATCTAACAATTTTACTATCTGCAACAGTCAGTCATAGACAACTTAGTACTCTTCACGAATGCTCATTTGCCCAAGTCAACACACGTTGTGTCATTACAGAAAAAATAAAGTGGAAAACAAAATTGTGGAGATGATAGTATCAGTGGTATCAAGAAACTCGACGGAGAATCGGCTTCAAATGGAAGTAATTAAATCGGTCGGCGAAACCATATTGAGACTCAAAGCTAAGAGGAAGATAAAGAATTGATTTATTTGTGCTGTTTGCGCCCATTCCAATCCGTGAAACTTGTCCCCAACCGAAAATTATGGTTGTCATACAAACTCCATCAAAAATACCAAACAGATTTACAATATTCAGTTAATTGGTCACTCTACGGGCTCATTACTAATCGGTCTGGTCGCCCATAACCTTTCCACAGCTTGCTCCTATGCCAAATATTGCATGTTTGGGTTAATGGTTGGGCGTTCGTAATATATCCCAACCGTCTCGCTCAGTGTTTAAGGTGTTCGACTCCAAGCCCCAAGTTCGGACCCTGCTCTACTTCGGCTGTGGGGGTCAGTTGGTTGGCTCATATCTAAGTACCTTGTAGATGAGTTAGTTTGGTCTCCTAGTGCATATCTTGCTACAAACCTGAGCTTCGCCTACTTAATACTTTCACCAATATATTTTAGTTTGTTAGTAATAACCTATTCAAGTTCCACATCCATAAATTCATACAGCTAGATGCTAATGAATATACTCACCCTTCGATAAACGGGAAGACATCGCTCCGGCGATGCGAAATATCAATGACCGAGTAAGATCTTCGTTGAGTTCTCGTTAGCCATCCACCAACTGTCTATTGAGTCTTGGAAGATAAGATTAGTGGTCAGCATGCTCAACAATCTTCTGTTAGTTAAACGGGATTTCCGGAGACCAATTCTTAAGCATTCAGGACATTCTTGTGTGGTTGCTCCAGGAGTTATAGGGGTTCCCCACAATGTTATTACCAATCGGGACCAATTTATGTATATAAGAGATTGCAAACATTGGGTTCTGGTTTTAATCGGTTAATTACTGGGTCATTTTCTGTGAATACATCCTAGGTCACAATTTTAAAGTCAGCAAATAAATTGGAATGGTACTTTAACAAAGGTGCTTAACGTTGGTTGATTTGCATCCTTCTCATGAGAGTCGAACATCTAAATGATATAGCTAGATAAAAATTGAGTTATGGAATCAAAAGAACGGGGCCCAGGAGGCTGCTGTAGTATCATATTCTCGAGTGATGTATCGTTTGGGATTGCAAGTGTTCGTCCAGATAGTCTTTGCTTTAATTTCCTCTCGACAACTCTTTGCATCAGCTATTTTTGGCGAATACTTGCTAAGTCTATTCTATTTCGTCTAAGGTTGTTTCATTAGCGTAAATTTATTTGGCTGTCAGTTGTAGCAAATACATTTTGAAGGAAGCGATAATCATCTACACTCTCAGGTTGGTGAATATACCTATGTGTATGCCAAAGGATGCATGTGTGGAAACACATTTGATGTCGGTATGCATGTGGACCATACTTGTTCGTGATGCGACGCCTGCTCCCCAGGATTTGGGTGCAACGATTTCCTCACACAGTCACATTCCCATGATGGGTTTGTGAGCGTCGAGAAAGGGAAACCATCTGGAGAAGAGCTAGTGGGGTTCACTGGATAAGGTTTGACCAACATGAACACGGTACCGTACTTCAATCACAAATTCGATCAAATGTTTGGTGGGAGACTAGTGTGTATAAAATAATATGAATTCAATAAAAATGATAAATTGGGGAGATTAGTGATATCGAACCAATAATAAAGACATAATGATATGTAATCAAATATAAAGAAGACAATAATTCTTGACTAGTCGGGTTCACTGGATAAGATTTGACAAACATTAACACGGTAGGGACACCGTACGAGATACGGTATTGAAGGTCACAGCCTGTATATCCTTGTATGGGTCAAAAGGTTAAGTGTATTCATACCAATGATTTGTAAACCTAATTATTCAGCATTATCAATTACAGCTTAGTTATTGCAAAGTTTTTTCATTCACTTAGTCCATTAAATAAGCGCTTAGGAAGTGTGTGTTACTGAAGCAGTGGTTGTCGACCGTAACAAAAACCTTGAATCCTAGGTTTCGTCCTGGGTAATGTTCGTCAGCGGGAAGTATATTAAATTTTTAAAGAAATAAGCTGGAATAAAATAGGAATTTATTTTATTTCATAACATTGTTTTTTAATGGTATGAGATGATGGATAATACTAAACGATTGATGCTTGTTAGGTAGATTATTCGAGCTGCAGTAATCAACCGTCTTATTTTAATTAAAGATAGAATGAGATTTCTACTGCTTTTATATTCAGAAATTATCTTATCTGAGAATAGTTTTCGTCCCTAAACCTTAATTATATAACAGAGTTGCTAAGGTTTGTGATCGTTGATCAGATTCAGTAAGAGGGTGTACTTCCCAAACATCTGACCAGGGAACTGTACAAGATAATATATAAAGATTTATAGCCAAGAGTTGAATAATTATTTACACAAATCATTTGTATACGTAAATTACTGAACCGATGAAGACAGGGACAAGTTAAGAATGACCTTAGCTAATTGAACTATTCACCTACCCACTGTAACCTACCTCTCACTTATTGTGTAGCTTTATAAAAGGCTGTAAATCGGCTGTAGAGGACTACTTAGCACATCAGTAAAATTCATACTGCAACAGTGGACTGTTAATTATCAGTTTAAAACTTCTTAACCACGTGTCAATGAATTCTAACTGTATAAAATTCAGAGCATTTACATCTAATAATGAGCTGGCTGTTAGCCATTCTTAGGATTATAATTTTACAGGTGAAACTTCCAGCTTCTATCAGTTCACTATTAAGCAGGATTATCATACAGTATCGATGGTGAGTAGTAATCGCTATTTCTTTTTCAGTTGACCTTACTGGTCACTGCTTTATCTCTAAAGATGTCACAGTTTATTATTCAATTGTAAGGTTGTGGTGCCTAATAACAGTAGACATGTTACCGTTGAAAATCATTTTTCATCAAGTCCTTTTAACTCGTAATCAGGGAATGAATCAGTAAAAGAATGGTTGCAATCAGATAACATTATGATATCCATCCATCCATAAATATTAATTGTCAAGTAAATTTATTCCATGTAATTTCGAATAATTGCTGTGTTAATAACAAGTTCCTAAAATTAACATATTTTCAACTTAAATGATTACTTCAATCCAGATGTAATCGACCAATGTAATTCTTTATCTTGGTAATTGATTCAAACTAGAACGAATCAATAACTTGATCCTGCTCCACTCAGCTTCATTGATTGTGTGATGGATTAAAACTTTGTAAAAGCAGCACGACCCGACAACATATCAGCTGAAGTACTGAAGTCAGACATCGAAGTAACTACAAACATGCTTCACCTTCTATTCAAGAAGGCTTGGGAGGAGGAACAAGTGCCGATGGACTGGAAGGAAGGACACCTCATCAAGATTCCAGAGAAAGGAGATCTGAGCAAATGTGAAAACTGCACTATTGTCAGCACCAGGGAAAGTCTTCAACAGAGTGTTGCTGAACCGGATGAAGGATGCAGTAGACACCCAACTTCCAGATCAACAGGTTGGATTCCGTAAGGATCAGTCGTGCACAGACCGAATTGCGACACTACGGATCATCGTCGAACAATCAGTTGAGTGGAACTCGTCACTCTATATCAAATTCATTGATTATGAAAAGGCATTTGACAGTGTAGATAGGAGGACGTTATGGAAACTTCTTCGACATTACGGAGTTTCTGAGAAGATCGTCAAAATCATCCGGAACTCATACAACGGACTACAGTGCAAGGTCGTGCATGGACGACAGCTGACAGATGGATTCCAAGTAAGGACCGGAGTCAGACAAGGCTGTCTACTTTATTCCTTCCTCTTTCTTCTGGTGGTCGACTGGATTATGAAGACCTCGACATCTGAGGGAAAACACGGAATACAATGGACAGCTCAGAACCAATTAGACGATGTGGACTTTGCAGATGACCTAGCACTATTATCACATACACACGAACAAATG